CAAATTAATTGTGGTTTTTGATCTCTTTCAGATTTATTCATGGGTCTCTGAAATAACAATAAATGAGCTTGTATAGCTGAGCTGGAGGTGGTTTGTGAGTGTGGCTCCCACATACCTAACTTTTGGCTGTTTAATTTCTTGGTAAACTTGGTCCCAAGTTGTTGGGGTCCAGCCAAAGGCACAGCGGTAACTTGGAGGTATCTGGAAGCCTGAAGGCACCATCAGGATGCTGATGTACTTGCCCCACAGGTATAGGTTGACCTGCTGGTGGGACCATACCCCCTCTAAATTCTTTTAATAGAAACATTTTATGTCCGGTATGCATTGCTTTTTCCTTAGGAAAGTCCTTGTGTTATTTTCTTAGAATGGATGCCACTTTTCCCACTTGCTGTGGGTACTGGCACACATGATCAACATGATCAAAGAACTTATATCTGGTAGTTTTATTTAGTTTTCCTAAGTCAGTCTTATTTTCACATGCCTTTGTGGGTATGGCTGGGGATCATCCAGGATCTTGGATATATTAGGTCTGTGTTCTACCGTTGAGCCATATTCCCAACCCCTCACATGCTTCTTATTCTTCAGATTTTTTTTCTTCATGGATTTCTCTGTCTTGTAAATTTCATTAGGTCTATTGTTTTCTTAGTTTATAGCAACCTGATATACAAATAATAGTGCCTGTGTGTGTTGGGGGGGGGAGGAGCACAAATATCTTCAGATTTGTTCTTTTAATTTCAATACTAAAAATAAAATTGTTTTAGTGGGTGGGAGCTCTGGGGTCACACCTGGTGATGCTCAAGGGTTACTCCTAGCTCTGCACTCAGGGATTACTCCTGGTAGTGCTCAGGTGTCCATTTGGGGTGCCAGGGATTAAACCTGGGTAAGCCATGTGCAAAGCAAGCACCCTACCTGCTGTATTTATAACTTGGGCTTTCATGCTAATATTTTCATTTGCATTTTATTAAATTTCTACATAATGCCTAAAAAGGCCTCTTCATTTTAAAATTTTATAAACATATCTGTATATGAGTAGGATTTAATTCCTCCTTTGTGCCTACCCATCTGCTTCCCTGATCTTGATGATTTCAAGCACAGACCGGGTAGAAAACCCCAATAGACTATTTTACAACTTTGCCTTAAGCCATTAGAAGTACTTTAAAGAAATTCAGAAGGAAAAGGAGGTCTTTAGTCTTTCTGAATTGTCATTTCTTTTTAATATTCTGTGTCACTGTCACTGTCGTTTCCTCCCGTTGTTCATCGATTTGCTCGAGCGGGCCCAGAAATGTCTCCGTTTTGAGAATTGTTACTGTGTTTGGCATGTTGAATGTGTCGTGGGTAGCTTGCCAGGCTTTGCAATACGGGCGAGATACTCTTGGTAGCTTGCCGGGCTCTCTGAGAGGGGTGGAGGAATTGAACCCGGCTCAGCTGGGCCAGCTGCGTTCAAGGCAAATGCCCTGCCGCTGTGCTATCGCTTCAGCGATATATTCTGTGATTTTTAATATTTTGGATTTCTTTCTGATATTTTTTCCCTTAAACCTGAAGAACTTCTTTTAAAATATCTATTCTAAAGTAAGTCCCTAGGCAATGGATACCTTGGTTTTCCTTCACTTGAAAATGTTTTTATTTTGCCTTCATTCCTAAAGGATATTTTTGCTGAATATAGAATTGTATTCGTTTTTTTTTTCTGCTCCAAATATTTTAATTTGCACTTCCAATGATGTGTGTGTTAGATCCACAGGTTCCTGAGGCAGTGTACATTATATTTCTATCTTTTCCTTGATTTTTCAAAGGATATCATCTTTTCTCCCATTCAATTCACTGATTTTTTTTTGTCATTTTTATTATGCAATTAATCTCAGAGAATTTTGTTTGTTTGTTCCAGTTGTATATTTTAGTTCTAAACTTTCTATTTTATTTGTTTTTCATAGTTGGTCCCCCTGCTTAGAATTATCCTTCAATTCATTTCGATTGTTATTTCCTATTACCTCATTTCTTTTACGTCATTACCAGTATAGTTATCATTTCTGCTCTAATGTCTTTGATAATACCAGCATCTGGATCAACTCAGAGTTGACTTGTTTTGTCTTTTCTCTTGAGATTTGGTCATATTTTTCTGGTTACTGTTTTGAGTGATTTTGGATTGTATCTTGGACCTTATGCATATTTTGGCGTGTGGATTCCTGGCTGTATTATAATCATGCAGAGAGTGCTCGTGTTTGTTTTAGCAGACTACCAGTCCAGTTGATGCCAAAATAAGTTCTAAGTGACTTAATTCTCATTACCATTTTTTGACCCTTTTCCATAATGTATTGAATATTTTAGGGGTTAACTTAAGACATACAGATTTATCCAGTCTCAGCCTAGTTATCTGAGCCTTTACGTATTGCTTTGGTGTTTCCCAAACACATTTTATGGAGGGGTTAATCCTCAAACTTGTGCCAGTAATTTCTATTTCAATTCAGTTTTCTCAATTTTTGCTGTATTGATTTGAGTCTAGCTTGAGCTGTGTAGTTCAAGGCTTATGCTAAGTTATCTTAGAATACATAGAATTTCTCAACTCTCTCCTCTCAATATTTGTCCCACACTGGTTTTTTTGAAAATTATTATTTTATCTAAGTGTATTTAGCCAAGATTTAATGAAGTATATTATGTCGTAGGACTAGTTATATTAAGAAATTAAAGATTAAAAAATAATTAAATTTTATTGAGAACCTGCTAAGATAATGGACTGGGTAATGGGCCTAAAAATGTATTCAGGACCCTGCTCTTTTGTAATCTCATAGGACAGGCTGTTACATAATGTGGGATTAAAATTAAATTGTTTGTAATGACCATGTTTACTCAGCATGTAGTTACTGTGTACAAACAATACTCTGAGCACTAAGGAGTTGGTGAATGAGAAAGCATATGTAAATTTAAAAAACCTGTTCTTGTTGTTTTGGGGACATGCCCAATTAGTTGAAGTGGTCCATAGAAGATTATCAGGTAATCAGCTAACCAAACTATGTTTTAGAAAAATTATAATTAATAACATAGTTTTCTGTGATAATCTGTACCTAATTATAACATTGTTTTATTCTGTCCTACAGAATTACAGTATTCAAATTTTATCTTGGTATCAAAAGTGAACCTTAAGGCTAAACATTGAATTGGGTTTGGACCTAATTCATGTTTATCTTACAGATCAGTAAATTGTGTATTCTCAATACACTGTCAATATAGTAATAAAATCAATATAATCAAATTAGCTTTAAGGATTTTTTTTTTTATTGAATCACTGTGATAGACCTTTACAAAGCTGTTCATGATTAGGTGTTAGTCACACAGTGTTCCAACACCCATTCCTCCACCATTGTACATTTCCCAGCAATAATGTCCCCAGTTTATTATGTTTTTCTAACATTTTAAAAATCTTCATCAGGGCACAGTGATTTACAAAGTTATTCCGAGTTGAGCTTCAGGCATAACAATGTTCCACATCAATACTGTCACTAGTGTCAACTTCATTCCACTAGTACTCGGAGGTTCACTCCCTTTCCCCAGCCCACCGCCTTAACAGGCACATTTTTAAGTTTGGTTTTCATATTTTCGATTTTTTCCAATTACAGTAATTTTTTTAAAAATAATCTTTCTGGGGCTGGAGAGATAGCACAGCGGGTAGGGCGTTTGCCTTGCACACAGCCGACCCGGGTTCGATTCCCAGCATCCCATATGGTCCCTTGAGCACCGCCAGGAGTAACTCCTGAATGCAGAGCCAGGATTAACCTCTGTGCATCACCAGGTGTGACCCAAAAAGCAAAAAAAAAAAATAATAAGCTTTCTGTTAATATATTATAATCTTTATTGGATGCCATTTTTAAAAGATTGTTAAGCCAGTTCTATTAATAAAAAAAAGTAAATGTTAAACAACAAATAATAAAAATTAAATATTCATCTGAATATGTTAATTTCTTTTAGAAAACTCTTTGTGCCAACACAGTAACCCGTAGAGTTTTTCAGTTTTTCCTTTGGCAGTTTGCTTAGATTTGTTTTATATGAGCACTTCTTTCTTTCTCTCAAGAGTTTAGCTTATGAAGTTTCATTGATTTAATCACAAAAATATTCTTAGTGCTTTATTTTAAAATAAAGAGCTCAACAGACTGGAGCTGCATGAAAAGCATGCGGGAGCCCTGGGTTTAATCTCTGTCACCTCGTGATCCTGAGCATCTAAGAGTGTGGCCAACCAAAATAAATTAATTATAATTAGGTGCAGGAGAGCCCAGCAAGCTACCAAGAGTATCTTGCCCACATGGCAAAGTCTGGCAAACTACCCGTGATGTATTCGATATGCCAAACACAGTAACAACAAGTCTCACCATGGAGATGTTACTGGGCCCGCTTGAGCAAATCCATGAACAATGGGAGGACAGTGCTACAGTGCATGAGAGTAGAAGAAATTTAATTAGCTAGCTTTGTAAAAAGAGTTATGTTTTAGTTATATATTGCTGTCTGACAAACCACTCCCAAATTTATTGGCATAAAATGATAGTCTTTTAGACTTATGCAGTCTAAAATGGATATTTCTACTGGTTCTGATTTTCTGAGTTCTTTCATTCTTCTGCAATTTTCTGGAGACTTGTTAGGTGCTAGCGGGTTAAAAATGCCATAACCCTTATGGTAGCCTCTCTGAGATCATTTTGATCAGTTAGGAGCTGACTTTAACCCTCTCACTTTCGGTGTAGTCTCTCCTTTCAGTAATGTATTGTGATTATTTCTCTTAATAGAACACATTGATTAATCTGTATATCCTTTCCCATATTAACAGTGTGTTTGTGTTATTTTGGGGGAAAGCCAAATTATGTTACTTCAACCTATAACAGGTTTTCCAGGAAATATATCACCTGCTATAAGTTTGAGAAATGTCTGATCTTTGAAATAATTTCTTATTTGTTATGTTTTTAAAATCTGAATAATTATTTATTTCCTATCATTAATAACTACTTTTTTATATATATAAACAGGCACTTGCTGGCTACTTTGATATATATTTTGAAAAGAATTGCCACAACAGGGTAAGTGTCTAGAGTTGTCTACCAAAAATTAATTGTATGAAATATACTGTATTTTATTTTAGTGCCCCAAGGTGTTTGAGCATAAGCATTTTGCCATTGTAAGCAACTGGAGCTTTTGTTTGATGTACTAGATTAATGTACCGTGATATTAAAAATCTTGTACTTCATCAGATACTTTTGAACTCTACCAATGCAGGTCGTGTTCTCAACGGGCCCTCAGAGTCCCAAAACACACTGGAAACAAACAATATTTCTGTTGGAAAAGCCATTTTCAGTAAAAGCAGGTAAGAAACAATCATAAAGAGGGTGAAAATACAATTTTGAAGTAAGCAATATTCATTCATTCTACAATTTTTAATGTGCCCACTGTATTTGAAGCAATGTAAACAGCTGCTGAGATGCTTCCAGATCTTCTCATTTACCTAAATTTTAAATTGCATATCATTTTATTAGTATAACTGAAAAAAATATTTGTTTCCCGGGTGACTTAAAGAAGTATCACCAGTAGAATATAGGAGTTTTTAATGTTATTAATGGTTATTGCATTCAAAATATACTTCTATGGATGTTCTTCACTGTCTCCATCTTAAATAATACAGTGTTTTTAGAGCTTGAGTCTGTTTCTTTGTTTTATACCTCATTGATTTTTTTCATGTATATGAGCACTTACAGTTCTTACATACTTGTATCCTGAGCTACAAATGTTAGAAATTGTTTATGGAACTGTTTTTAAAATTTAAATTTCTTTGTATCTCTAATTCTTCCTGTCCCACGTTCATTAAAAGCTTCATAGTCAAGTTAGAAAGTTTAAAACACAACCAACTTGCACAAAGAAACATTCACCATCACTGATAATTCAAGGAGAGGCTAAACATTGTAGCATGTTATCTAATACATCATCGAGAGGACCAGGGTGGATTGGGGAATGCATGAAATTTAATTGTACCAGGTACTAGATCTGTCATCAAGTATCAAGTAAGTTTTCATTACTCTTCTGGTAGTATCAATTGGCATAATTTTTTTTAAGTGTGCTACCATCCAGTTAAGTATAAATGTATCATTGCTGAAAATCCATAGTTTTTTCCCAGACCTGTATTTTGAGCTCTCATTCTCCTACAATCTCTATACAAGAATCTTCACAACACTGTGTCTATAAAATTGAAAAATTATAAGCAAACCTACTGCAGCAGAATATGGATGAATAAATTTGGTTATTGCATACAGTAAACTCTTTAGCAGATAAATGATGTGCCACTCAAAAGCACCATTGAGTCAAAATATGTTGCAGAATGATTTATATAGTAATTTATAAATCATATTTATCAGGACTTTAGAGCATGTAAAGCAACTGTGCATACATAGACACAAAATATGAATAAAATGTAATGGGTGTAGATAGCAATTGTACTGGGATTAAAGCCCTTGCCTTGTGCACAGCCGGTCCTAGTTTGATCCCAGACATCACATAGGGTCCCTCCGAGCAGTCTTGAATCATCCTTGAGCACAAAGTCAGGAGTGATCCCTGAGCATAGGGCCAGGAGTAAGTCCTAAGTACAGCCAGGTGTGGCCCAATCTCTTCTTCCCCCAAAGAGTTAAGAGTCACTTCAGAATGGTTCTATTTAAGTCCCTATAGCGGTTCTCTCAGTGGGGAGATAGAGCTAGGATCAAGGAAGCTTATAGATAGTTCTATACTGATGTTCTGAATTTTATTATTGTTTGCATTTTGGGGCCACACCCAACGATATTCAGGGCTTACTTCTGGCTCTGGGCTCAGGAATTACACCTGATGAGGCTTGGGGGACAATATGGGATGCCAGGGATCAAACCCGAGTCAGTCAGATGAAAGGCAAGCGTCCTATCTGTTGTGCTATTGCCCTGGCTCCTATTTCTTTAAAAAATTGAAGAACTGTGGCAAAAATGTTAAGATTTGACAAAGCAAAGTAATATTTCGTAGCTTAAAATACTGTTATTATCTATGTGTTTAAAATATTTCATAAAATTCTAACTTGGTGTTTACTTTAGTGTTGATGGATAAATTGGATCTAGAAATGCAAATAAGCAGCATAAAGCTGCACCTTTTAGTTATTTTCTCGTTTTGAGGTAACAAGGCTATAATAATAATACCTTAGTAGTGTTATTTTCTCTTTCTTAGAAAGCATGAACATAGCAGAACTGAAACGAGACCAATATGAATGAAATTCTTTCCCATCCTCACTCTTTTTTTGGTTTTGTTTTTGTAAAGCTCTGGTATTTAGAATGTGTATAAACTTAAAATTGTTGCTTTTTTCTTTTCTATAACCATTCTGTTGTCTTTACTGCTAGAAATTTAGAGTGCTAATTCATTCCTGATTTACATTTAAGGTAACATATGAAAGCCAGGGTGATAGCACAGTGGTCAGGGCGTATGCTCTGCATGTCTCTTGATTCCTTTCTCTGCTTGGCCCTCCAACGCCACATTCAGTCAGACAATTTATGCAGGAAAATATCAGTCCTCTGGTGCCATGAGGGGCTACCAGATTGTTGCAAGAGGACCACAGGTGAAAATTACATAAATGGGTGGTGACACGAGACTAGGGGTCAACCCCTAGGAATTATTCCTGGTGGTGCTCAGGGGGCCATATGTGATGCTGGGAATCAAACTTGGGTTGGCCACGTGCAAGGCAAACGCCCTACCCGCTGTGCAATCGCTCCAGACCCCCAAAATCTACTCTTAAGTAAAATAATCTAATTCGCAGCTTTACTGTTTGCAGTTTACCATTTGATTTTCGACTCTATGACATTCTGCGAAAGGTAAAACTGTAGAGACAGTGAAAGAAAAAGTCAGCAGGAGCTTGGGGAAGGTGGAGAATGAGGAATTTAGGTCTGTAATGATACCTATATGAAATTGTAATGATGGATGTCATTATACAAGTGTCCTGACTAATGTTCACTAACAAGTGTTTAATCCTAATGTGCGAACTATTGACATTAGGTAGCTATGATTATATCACTGTAGGTTAATCCTTAGTGGAAAAAGCCTACCACTTAGATTAGTGATGTTAATGATGGAGGAGGCAGTATATATATGGGGCAAGGGAAATGTGGAAAATATGTCTCATTCTCAATTTTGTTGTAAAGCCAAAACTGATCAAAAATTTAAGTCTTGGTGTTTTTACGTTATTACATAATTGTGTATCCCAAAATTACAGGGAATTTTGTAAGAATTGCAGAGTCTTATAAGTAAAAAGTTGAAGTAGAGATGTATAGATTTAATTCTAAAATTTCTATACAAAAGACTAGCCAATTTTGAGAACACATTGGAATCTTTATACTGTGTGCTTTGAAAGTTACTTTAATCCACAAAGTATGGAAGTATGGTGGGATTAGTGTATACTGTGATAAATTTATCATCAGTAGAGCCAGTAGAGAATTCAAAAATAAACCCTTTTTTGTATAGTCAGTTAAAATTTTCCAAAGGGACAATGAGATTCAAAGGGAAAGGAGTCTTTAAGCAACTAGAACAACTACATCATCTCATAGGAAAGCAAATGAAAATTGATTTGTACCTCATATCTTTTACAAAAACTAAACCTAAATGGATCTTAGGCCTAAATATCAAAACTTTAAAAGTATAACTCTTCTAAAAAAGTCACCTAAAGAGATAAACTTGCAGACTTAAGATAAATACAAGCTTTTGAAAATAAGATGTTGGCAAAATTAATAGAGCTGCACAGAGAACATGGAACCCTTTTATTATTTTTTTGGTATATAAGTTATGTCTAAATAAAGTTACTTTGTTGGGGAGGGGAGGCAGTTTGGGGGTTATGCCTGCAGTATGCAGGGTTTACTTTTGGCTCTGCACTCAGGGATCACTCTTGACAGTACTTGCAAAACCAGACTCTATACCAGGGATCTAACTAGGTCGACAAGGCAGGCACCTTATTACCCCCCCCCCCCCCCGGCCTTAATAAAGTTACTTTAGGAAAACAATCCTCATTAGACACTCATTTTTTCCATGAGAAAAAAATCATTACTCATTACCCTGAACCTGTAGTCTGATCATTTTTCATCATTTCTAGCCCTCCTGTCATGACCCCACCTAAGATGATTGCATTCGCCAGCCTAACAGATAGCAGCTTTTCAGCTGGCTGCCTCCTCGCCTTTGTGTACACAGAAAGCTATTTTGGTAACTCTTTCAGTCAGTATACTCCAGTTTACCTCTTGTACTCAGTTTGTTTCTGTAAATCTTTTCTCATTGTATCCTCCAAAAGTTTATTCCTTCTTTATTCCCTTAGATCTTTGATATTTTTGTCTATAACAACCCAGAATGTTTTAGAAGAGTGTTTTATTAAAAGATGAATTACTTTTCCCATCCCTTCCTTTTGGTCATTTGATACATTGTAAATACATTGATGGCTGAATAGGTGTAATAATATGTGTTGTCATTGAAATCCCTGTAACACTTAACAAACCATCTGTGTCACTGCTGTATTTGGTTGTTTCATTTTGTGAACTTTAACATTCTCTGAAATATTATCATACTCTAGCACTTGTGTAAGTTGGTGTTCAGATTTATCTTGGCATGACTGGAGTCTCTGAGGTTGAGTTCAGTTAAAAGGAAAAAAATAGTTATTAACTAAACGTGCAATATAATTTTAGATAAGATGAAAGTCTGGAAGAACAATTTAGAACAATTTATTGTGTGTTTAAAGCTTGTTTTAGTGTCCAGAAAGCAATATTTTTTATAACTAAAACTTTAAACCTATATTTTAATTATTTTGTCTAGGAATGTGTATATGTGTCTGTATCTTGGTGCACATGTACCTTCAGTAGCACTCAGACTTCTTTTGGAAACTGTAATTGCACCCATGGATGGAGACTTAGTATTTATTTGCTTTTGATTTTTGGGCCACAGCATTTGATGCTCAGGGCTAATTCCTGGGTCAGCTATCAGGAGTCACTCCTGGCAGGGTTCAGAGGATCATGTGGGTTGCTAAAGATCAAACCCAGGTTGGCCACGTGCAAGGTGGTATATACATAAACATATTCATACCATGGTAATCCTTATCTGATATGCTATCACTCGGGTCCTGAGACTAGTATATAAAAAGTAGAAAAAGACTATGTGAATAGAGAATTTCTTCGATTAAGAATTCTATGTTTGATCCAAAAGCAGACTGGTACTATAAAAACATGAGTTAGAGAAAACTTACTTTAAAACTGAAATTCAGAAAAGTGTTTTTCCGTTAAAAAATAGTGCAAGGATGGAATTGTAGTTCATTATAGAGCACTTGTCTTGCTTGTG